CAAGCCCCCTAGTGCTACACTGCCACTCTCTTGTGTCCAGTGTCATCTATTTTTCTCAAGAAACGAGGAAGACGAGGCTCCACTGAACTCTTTGAGATACCTACACCGAAACGCAAGATTACCGAATTTTCGGTATCTGACGATATTATAAAACAAAATAAACGAGCACCCTGGCCCGTTTTTATTAAATCCGGAGGACTTTGTGAATTATGTTCATCGAAACAAATTGAATCAAAGTCACCATCTCAATGCTCCTTATGCAAAATTTCCTCAACGTAAACGAAAGGAAGAATTTATTTTTCATGATTTCCACAATGAATGATATTTTTATATATTAAAAAAGAATTATCCTGCTCCAACGGATAATTTGATTCTAATTAAAATGATTAAGTAGGTTAAAAATTGATTTTCTTCCTTTTCATCAAGCCTATTCATTGCTTGTATCACTTTATATGGATAAAATTATGTCAAAAGTCCCAGTTTAAAATTTTTAAAAAATGAAAAAAATTAAAACATTTTTGTAAATTTAATGTAAGATGTTTAATCATGCATAAAGAAATCTAACAAAACGTTCCAAACTCTTTTCCCAAAAAATAAAATAATTTTTGAAATAAACGGTTAAATAATCAAATGCGATTCAAAATGTTCATTCCAAAAGAACTTCAAAACATAGATTATAATTTTAAACGTAATTCAGTTTTCTAATTTTTTATTCTGCAAAATTATGATTAAGGATCATTATGAGACTACAAATACAGTTTTCCTTTCTTTTAAAACTTGTAGCTAAGTAATAAAAAGGCCAGTAATTCGTAAATTATAAACGGCAGACAAAAATTCTTCATGAATACTTTAAAACATTGGTTTACAAATAGTTTTTATTTAGAGAAACTCTGGGAATAAGCAGAAAGCTTTTCTATTCTTGAAGGGAGTGCTGTAAGTCAGTTAATTTTGAAACATAATTAAAGTAATAGTGATATAAAAGTAAATGTTTAATTTCAATCGTAATTAAAAAAGTTTAAGAATACGTTATTGCGATGAAAACCTTTTCGGTTAATTAATTAAGAATAAATTTAATCTCTCTAACAGGAACTATTTTCAGTTTAATATATATAGAACATTTTGCGTTGGCTTACCAATTGTTACGTTTAAGACTTTACTATAACTTCAGAAATAGAAATTTAAGCATTAAAACTGTTATTCTTCTCTTATATCTTATTTTTTCGTGCAAATCATTTCATTGTTCAAATTTAAAGGAAACTAGAAAATTTGTTACTCATTGTACGATTTAGTGTTAATTGGTGAAATCACGTTTCGGTATCTTAAACCCCAAACCTGTTGCAAATGTAGTTTTCTCATTTCTTCGACTATTGCACTTCTGCATATACTCCTAGTCATCATCAATATGCTTAATTGGCTGTTTGTGTATTAAAGTTGAATAACTATTTACTTAATGATGAATAATTTCGCTTGATATATAGTTTCTATGTTTTGCTGATGATGCGTGTAATGTTTGGTTACCTCGGTATTCAGGACACTAGCGGCAACTGAAGTTGTTCAGACACTAGCTGTTACCGAAGCTGTTAACACTAGCGGTAGCTGAAGTTGTTGAGACACTAGTGGTAACTGAAGTTGTTAAGACATTAGCGGTAACTGAAGTTGTTAAGACACTAGCCGGTAACTGAAGTTGGTCAGACACTAGCGGTAACTGAAGTTGGTCAGACACTAGCGGTAACTGAAGTTGTTCAGACACTAGCGGTAACAGAAGTTGTTAAGATACTAGCGGTAACTGAAGTTGTTGAGACACTAGCGGCAACTCAAGTTGTTGAGACACTAGCTGTTACCGAAGTTTTTAAGACACTAGCGGTAACTGAAGTTGTTGAGACACTAGCGGCAATTGAAGTTGTTCAGACACTAGCTGTTACCGAAGTTGTTAGACACTAGCGGTAACTGAAGTTGTTGAGACACTAGTGGTAACTGAAGTTGTTAAGATACTAGCGGTAACTGAAGTTGTTAAGACACTAGGTGGTAACTAAAGTTGTTAAGACACTAGGCGGTAACTGAAGTTTTTAGGCACTAGCGGTAACTGAAGTTGTTAAGACATTAGCGGTAAATGAAGTTGTTAAGACACTAGCGGTAAACGAATTTGTTGAGAAGCTAGCGGTAACTGATGTTGTTAAGACACTAGCTCTGCTGAAGTTGTTATGACAATAGAGGTAACTGAAGTTGATCAAGAACTGCCGGGGTGTGTGAATAAATAATATTTTTATCTTATAATCTGAAATAAACTGCCAGTTGACCAATATCTTCGCGGTGGCTCATCGTAGGCTTAGTACCTTTTCAGCAATTTTGCTTTCCGTGATTGCCAAGTGGCCTAGTTTTTATGCCCGGGAGATTTGCAGTGCCGTTGTTGGAGATATTGTGTACGCTTTAATAAACAGTCAATTAAAACGCTATTAGAGGTAGGCGCGAATGCTTCTATCTTCGAAATATTACTGTTACTATCAATCTAAATACATCATTAAACCACATCAAAACAAACAAAACAAAAACAAAAATGTTTAAAAAAAAAGAAAGAAAAGTAACAATAAAAAACACCCCCCCTCAAAAAAAATCTGATAGGCTTCAGATTTTAAATTACGTCCAAAGGGGCGTTTTTTTAACGTTTTGTGTGCTACTTTTATTTATTAAATGTCATGTTCTTTGCACTTAAATCATAAAATTTAGTTCAATAGCAATGTCGCAAAATAATTTTAAAATGACCATATCTTTAGAATTTCCGATACACAGTTCGACGCGCTGGAGATAAAAAGGTTTTTTTTCCCCGTAGAGTGTTGCCATTGCTCGCTTTTAAATCGTTCAGTTTGTTACTCAAAAATTCGTTAAAGTTTTACAAAATATGAAAATTTATAATAATAAAACAAATTAATAAATAAACAAAATAATCGATAATAAAACAAATTCTAGATTTCAAATTTGGGATTTCAGATGCCCATATTCGCAGTAGGATTACGTCATTCAAAATTGGATGGCTCTAGATACCGTTGTTTTATCACAATGCGAGAAATATACATACATTTATGCAGATTTTTCATTATTTAATTCCTTCAAATATAATGCAGGACTCTTAACATTTTGTGGCAACAGTTTGAAAATTGAACCGACATTTATAGGAGTCCGATGCAAAATGCCAAAACGAAAGTAATAGTCCTTCGGGACTCAAATCCTTTTTGACTAATAAAAAATAAAATAAAATATATACGGGATGTCCATAATTAAACTTGAAATTTGGAGCGGTCTGTAGCAAAAATTATGCAGCAGAATTGTATGAAAATTATCTAATGGCAGAATGAAATGATGGGAATTTTATCGAGGGAAAACATTAATTTCAAAAGCCACCACTAGATGGCGTTGTGCAATGTAAATTATTGGCGTATGCAAATAGCGTAACCATAATAATCCTAGGCGCGCACAGCAACCCTATGCGAGAGGCGAACCACAGTCATACTCGTTATCATACTCGTCAAGTGTGATGTAGCGGCGCCGCAAGTGGAGGAAGACAAATCCCAAACCATCGGGAGCACTAGTGTTCGGCGTACTGCAACATATGTTGACCAACTTCGTTCCACGGTTCATAAGATTCTTCAAAAGGTGTTACGCTACTATCCCTATAAACTGTCACTAGTGCAGCAGCAGCTGTTACTAGCTGATCTGGATAGTCGACAAACTTTTGCATTGCGGTTTCTTGCGCGAGTTGAGCTCCAGGATCAATGGCCATGGGGACATTTTGTGGACCGACGAGGCCCACTTTCATATGGAAGGTGCGGTTAACACGCACAGTTGCCGTATTTGGGCTTCTACAAACCCACATTAATTCCTTTCTATTACACCCTTCGCATGTAACAGTTTGGTGCGGCTTTCATGTAATTCGAACAGCACAACGCCGCAGGGCCTGTGACATGCACCGCCACCTGTCAACGATACGTTTCATTATTAGAGCAATCCGTTATTCCGGCTCTTCAGGCAAGGCGATGGGATACAACCACAGTGTTTATGCAGGATGGTGCTCTTCGACACATCGCCCGTTGTGTGAAGCAAGTCCTCCGCCGCCATTTCGGTGACGACAGAATTATCAGCTGGCAATTTCCTACAGCTTGACCGTCTAGAATCCCCGACTCGAGTCTTCGAGACTGTGGAGATAGATACCTCAAGGCCATTTTCTACTGAGATCCCATCACATCTCTATCCGTCCTTAAAGAAAGCATAGAACGCCATATGTGTAAAATTCCCCAGTTCATGCTGCTTTCAACAGTCGAACATGGCGATTTTACGCTTCCAGATGGTAGCAGACAATGGTGGACATCACATCGAGCATGTTTTGTAAAATTTTGTAGATTATTTATATGTTCTCAATAAAGCTATGATACGTCACCTAGGGGTGGTTTTTGAAACTCATTGTTTCCCCTCCCCTCGATAAAATTCGCATCATTTCATTCTGTCATTGCCCAATTTTCATGCAATTCCGCTGTATAGTTTTTGCTACAGACTGCTCGCAAATTTCAAGTTTAATTATGGACACCCTGTATGTATGTAAAGTCTTTTATTTGTACTATGACTTCCTCACACGTCCTTTAGCAATCTTACGCATTAAACATCAGCGACTCTGATGTAGTCTCTCTTTTCAAGTAAAAGAGAAAGCATATGTCAATTTAAAAAAATATTTTCTAAAATTTTGGACTACATCCATGTGAGGAAATCGAAACGATGATTAGTTATATCAAATGGCATGCCTCCACAGTCTAATTGCTGCAAACCTTTACGATCTGCAAGCTTTTTTGTATATATTTTGAAGTAAACAAGAGGCATGATATAACTCTTTGCTGAAAGTTTCTTCATTTGTTTCAAATATTCAAGCCATCTTTCACAATTTTTTTATATTTAGCAAGTCGATTAGAAATAAATCAAAGTGTCTTAATCTAAATATAAGGATTTTGCTTTTTCAGGTTTAAAAAATACGCCCTGCAGATTGCCAAATATCACAGACTCTCACATTCAAGTGACAAGTAAATTTGACGATGAAGGGCAGGAATATTTAGTCTTCTCATGTCGTCCCATTGGGATGTATGCCCTCATTCAACCACCCGTGCCTTGGCGTTGTGTTGAAGGTACGTGGCGAGGCTCATTTCCTACGTGTCGCCGCCTGTTGAATGAGGTTGAAGTAAATGGTGAGTATAAATTTTACTGCACTTTAGGAAAGCAGCGGTATTATTTCCGAAATGATTTAGCTCATTCACTGGAATGAAAATCATAATATTTTCATTACAAATATTATCCCTTTATTTAAGTAATTTTCATTAAAATTTGTAGATTCACTTGTGTGAAAACTGGAATAGTAGCAACTGCACTAGAGAAAGGTTAAAAGTACCCTTTATTAACTCTTTAAAATTTACAATGTGTCAACTCGACGCTAACAAACTACTCCTCTTCTGGAGTGGTAACTGAAAATTAGATAACGAAACTAAAAGTTTGAAGATATGAACAAGTGATAGAACTAAACTACAGAGCTCAGCTAGATCCCGTTTCTAAAACACCCCCGTCGAAACTAGTGGCAGCAAGTAAATGTAATTAAGCCACGTGAACCAGCAGTAAGCAAACATTTAAACAGCAGAGGTGCCGGCTTTAGCCTAACCCTCTTTTTTCCTACCGAAACTCGGTTTCTAAACTCTTTCTCTTGTTTTTCTCAGCAGTAAGCAAACATTTAAACAGCAGAGGTGGCGGTTTAGCCTAACCCTCTTTTTTTCCTAGCGAAACTCGTTTTCTAAACTCTTTCAAGTAGAATTTGCATTTCTTCACGCGGGCCACCAGATTGAAACATTCTGGCACTGATAATTAGAAAGGAAAGATTAGCAACTTAAATAAAATTGGTTACTTAAAAAAAATACAAATCCCTACAAATTATAATAAAACATTCTGACTGTGGCTAATGTAATAGGAAATAAAAACTATGCAATTTAAAAGGCAAAAGAAAAACCTGGCGATACTTTTAGAACAAGAAAAGAGGCAATGTAGAGATAATCTTATTTGAATCAGTATAAATACATATTTTAAGTTATTAATATGAAATGTGAGATAACGCAGAAACTTTACCTTCCTTCAAGCAACTCTTGCCTCCCAAGGATTCCAGGGCTTATATTTACGTTAAATTTTCGTAGAACAATAATCTGTAAATACCTTGATGGTAGTAAATCCAACAATTAACATTGACCATAATATTATTGTGCACAATAAGGCTTCTATTAAAAAGGATGAAAATAAAGAAATTGACACTTATCAAAATCAATAACAGTTTATACAGCAAAGGAAACAGTTATAAATAGCTCAAGAAAGAAAACAGATAAGGCAAATTATTATTATTACATTGTTACGAAATGTACAGGCGCGATAAGATGGCTTCCCCGCAAAGCAGTTTTAGGGTTGCCATAAAATAGAAAGGTAGGCAGGGTTGCCACATTTGGCGAGAAATCGCCCATTTGGCGACAAAATTGGCGATATGCCATGGACGGGTGGAGAACCTTCTGGAACGAATTCTTACCGGTTTAGCCCAGAATGTTCTCTAATACAAGCCAAAAGCTATATAAATCCTGCCGGTCCTCAGTCAGTTGCCTCGCATAGAGTCCGAGTTAGTTAATATCGAGTTGATGTCTCGTCTAGCGAGTCAATTTCTGCGGAGTCGATCGTGTTGACAGCCGGGCAGCAAGAGCCGAGTAAGTCGTCGAGTTCACCGAAGGAGTCTCTTAGTGTATCGCGATTAGTGCATCGTCGAGAGAGAGTGTTGAGCTCCGGGAACGACTGAACCGAAGAGTCGGGAGCCGTGCTCTGTGTGTCGTCGATTGCATCGCGAGTTGTAGCGTGGAGAGTCTCGAGAGTACATGCAGCAGACCGAATAGAGTCGGGAGCTGTATTCTGGTGTTTTGCAGTGAAGCTGTTTCCACCGTGATAGCCTGATAACCTGAAGGGTGTGTCACTGGTTGTTCCAGCGTGTTTAGAGTAGATCTTCGACTACTGCAAAAAGTGCTATTGGAGCTGTCCTGATTAATATTTGCTAAATAAAGTGTGTTCGAGACTTCATCAAGTATCGTCGTTATTCACTCCAAATCTACAAACCCCGTACGAACGTGAAGGAAGAAAATAACGTAACAATATGATGAATATCATTGACCACCAAAACCATTCACAAGGCAAAGCACCAATCATCGCAAAGGCGCTCAACGAGTCGCTCGAGTTTGAACTGTGTAGCTGGACTGGGCTGATTCCAGCTTCAACGTAACGGATATTTATAGGCCTTGTCAAGCGCTTCAGGAGGCTTCGAGAAAAATCCCTTCTGTGCGTTTTCCTGAAACTTCAATAATGTCAGTTGTTTGAGTTCTGAATTAGTATTTGTTCGGCGTGTTATTGTGTCTTAATAATATAACATGTAGTTAACTTTTGATTACATGATATTACAAGCATATTCTTTAGATTTGTCCTACAAGTGGTTAAAACGACTAAACACATAATGCCCACAACAATAAAAACGATTTAGAGTTGCAAGTTCTACATTGTAATTTTCGAAATGGATGCTTGCAAGCATAATTAGTAGCAACAGATTTGATTAAACCAAAGTACAGAATAAAAGTTTACGTAAAATGCATTGCGTAAATAAATAAGTAAAAAAAAATTGAAATATCTGAAAGGTTTCAAATTTTATATTACATTCAAAGGGGCGTTTCTTTAACATTTTATCTGTTACCTTTATTTATTAAATATCACATTCTTCGCACTTAAACCATAAAATTCAGTTTAAGAGCAATAGCGCAAAATAATTTTAAAATGAGGCAATCTTTAGAATTTCCGATACAGAGTCTCGCGCGCTGGAGATATGTTTCTTCTGTACAACGTTGCCATTGCTCGCTTTGAAATCATCGAGTTTGTCAACCAAAAATTTGTTAAAGTTTTACAAAATATAAAATCGATAATAAAACAAATTTCAAATTTGGGCTTTCACATGCCCATATTCGCAGTAGGCTTACGTCATTCAAAATTCGATGGCTCTATGTACCGTTGTTTTATCACAGTGCCAGGAATATACATACATTTACGCAGATTTTTCATTATTTAATTTCTTCAAACATAATGCAGGACTCTAACATTGGTGACAACAGTTTGAAAAGTGAAAAGGACATTTATAGTTAACCAACACAAAATCCCAAAACGAAAACAATAGTTCTTCAGGGACAAAGGCCCTTTAGACTAATAATAAATAATGCGCTAAAGAAATGCATACTTCCGGGGGCTACAGAAATTGATGGAAGTACTTCAACAAGTACTTAGTTTCCATGCACCATTAACAGAACAGCGGATCCACTGGGTTAGGTGCTCTTCAGCATGTCGGATCCTGTCGATGATTTTATATTACACCCAAACGTTCTCCCATTTAAGGCACATACACGTCTCCAGAGAATTTGGGCTAAAAATCATTAGAAACAGCATATCTTTAGAACTTCCGATAGACAGTCCCGCCCACTGAAAATATTTTTTTTTTTTTTTTTTTCTGAAAAGTGTTGAATGTGCTCGCTGTGAAATCGTTTAGTTGATTAATAAGAGTTCGCTAACGTTTTACAGAATATGATAAAGATGATAAAACAAAGTCAAAATTCTGGTATTCTAGGTGCCCATGTTCGCGTGGAGGATTACGTTATTCAAAATTGGATGGCTCTAGGTACCGTCGTTTTTTCACAGCGCAAGGAGCATTCACACTTTTATGCAGATTCTTCATTATTTAATTTCTTTAAATATAATACACGACAATAACATTTGGTAGCAATTAATTTGAAAAATGATACAACGCTTTAAGAGACTGCTGTTTTGGAGACTAATAGTCCTTCTGAACTAAGGCTTCTTTGGGCCAAAGAAAACAGAACACAGTTTAAATTAAACTTAATCGCCAGTTAACCATAAACTAACCGTTAAATGTCTTAGTTAGAGATGTGAAGAATCCAGACTTTTTTTCAATTTTAAATTTTAAGGAAAAGTGCAGTTAAACTTTTATTTGTATTTCCTATTAATATATAAGGTGTTGTCTTATTTTTAAAGAACTAGCGAATCAAGTGAACAAAGAATTTCGCTGTTCGGACACGGAAGTTCCCGATCCCACTGACTGTGCGTTCTTTTTCAAATGTTCGCATGGAAAGGTTGACCGCATGAAGTGTCCCTCTAATTTACACTTTGATAGCAACAAAAGAAGATGCGAATATCAAATCAATGCACGATGCTCCTCTGTGCTACCTTCTGGAGGTAAATACTATACTGCTTCAGTTTTATGTACATTATTTATACCTATGTATAGTATAGTTGTTTTGTATGCTTCATATTTTTATACATTTCTTTTGATTAATTTACATTTTGCTTTGCCCTTTGTTTTTACTGTAATTTTTCTGTATTATGCTTTTTTTTTTCATGTATAGTTATGTATTTAGGTTGCTTGATTAAGTTTTCATTGAAGTTAGGCATTTGTATGTTGTTGTTGTTGTTACTTACTCTCTGACACTTGTCTGACAGTAGCATCAGCCTAAGCCCACGAAATTCCTCGTGGCAAGGGGTATGTCGCTGGCAACAGGCCATGAACACCTTACAGGTGACAGTTGGGATTTAGCTCATTTCCGCTCCCAATTTTTGTACTGTCTGATAGTAACATAAGCCCAAGCCCACGAAATTCCTCGTGGCAAGGGGTCTGTCGCTGGCAACAGGCTATGAACACCTTACAGGTGACAGTTCGGATTTAGCTCATTTCCGCTCCCAATTTTTTTACTGTCTGACAGTAACATAAGCCCAAGCCCACGAAATTCCTCGTGGCAAGGAGTCTGTCGCTGGCAACAGGCCATGAACACCTTACAAGTGAAATTTCGGATTTAGCTCATTTCCGCTCCCAATTTCTTATTGTCTGAGAGTAGCATCAGCCTAAGCCCACGAAATTCCTCGTGGCAAGGGGTCTGTCTCTGGCAACAGGCCATGAACACCTTACAGGTGACAGTTGGGATTTAGCTCATTTCCGCTCCCAATTTTTTTACTGTCTGACAGTAACATAAGCCCAAGCCCACGAAATTCCTCGTGGCAAGGGGTCTGTGGCTGGCAACAGGCTATGAACACCTTACAGGTGACAGTTGGGATTTAGCTCATTTTCGCTCCCAATTTTTTTACTGTCTGACAGTAACATAAGCCCAAGCCCACGAAATTCCTCGTGGCAAGGGGTCTGTCTCTGGCAACAGGCCATGAACACCTTACAGGTGACAGTTGGGATTTAGCTCATTTCCGCTCCCAATTTTTTTACTGTCTGACAGTAACATAAGCCCAAGCCCACGAAATTCCTCGTGGCAAGGGGTCTGTGGCTGGCAACAGGCTATGAACACCTTACAGGTGACAGTTGGGATTTAGCTCATTTCCGCTCCCAATTTTTTTGCTGTCTGACAGTAACATAAGCCCAAGCCCACGAAATTCCTCGTGGCAAGGGGTCTGTCGCTGGCAACAGGCCATGAACACCTTACAGGTGACAGTTGGGATTTAGCTTATTTCCGCTCCCATTTTTTTACTGTCTGACACTTGTCTGACAGTAACATCAGCCCAAGCCCACGAAATTTCTTGTGGCAAGGCGTCTGTCGTTGGCAGCATGCCATGAACACCTTACAGGTGACAGTTGGAATTTAGCTCATTTCCGCTCCCAATTTCTTACTGTCTGACACTTGTCTGTCAGTAACATCAGCCTAAGGCCACGAAATTCCTCGTGGCAAGGAGTTTGTCGCTGGCAACGGGCCATGAACACCTTACAGGTGACAGTTCGGATTTAGCTCATTTCCGCTCCCAATTTCTTACTGTCTGACACTTGTCTGACAGTAACATCAGCCCAAGCCCACGAAATTCCTCTTGGCAAGGAGTCTGTAGCTGGCAACAGGCCATGAACACCTTACAGGTGACAGTTCGGATTTAGCTCATTTCCGCTCCCGATTTTAATGGAGAGCAACCCAGCCCACCCTTCTCCTCTTCCACCAAATCACACGAGGGGACTTTCGGCTCGCTGCATATTTAAAGTGCCATCATGCCGCACCGACACTACAAACATCCATGCTTTCTTCGTTACGTGTTAAATCATGCACTGCATTACAGACATTCACGCCTTATTCGGGATTCGAGCCCTTTGGCACGGCAGTCAGCGACGCTAACCACTATACCGTTTGGGCGGCCGCTTTTATATGTTTAATTATTTATTATGTAATGTATAAATAACCGTTAAAATTTTAGGAATAACGAGTAAAAAACTCAAAACGTAACTTGTAAAAATCTACCTAGCTTTGTGAAAAATTTTGTCACTATGTTGGCGACATTTTGTAAAATCTCATCAGATTTAGCAACGTTTTTTAAAAGCATGGAAAACACGATTTCATAAGCATAGAAGTTGGAATTATTTGATCAGAAAATTTGAGCTCACTTTTCGTCTGTCGGAAAAGTAAGTACAAAACTAAGACCGGCTGATATCTCAATTTCTTTTCAATTCTGAACTAAGTAGTGTATTCTAGTATTCAGTGCTTTATTGCACTTCATCTCAATGTGAAAATCTGCAATCCTATTGAAATTTTTGAGCTCAAACGTTGTGAATTTCCGACAAGAGATGATCATGTAACTTTGAATCTGCAATATATATTCTTGCTTCTAGAAGATATTTTAGCAATATCCTTGTATTCTCGAAGAAACATTTTGTTGTTTTCTTTTCTTTCATTAATTTGTTATTGCTTATGCTCTAAAAGGCAAGTTTTTCTTTATGTTACGTATTTTGTTTTCCGGAGATTGAGGATTAATAGTTTTTTTTTTTTTTTTGCTTTTTTGTACCACGTAAAGGAAATATTGTAATCGCGAAAAATTCGGGTACCATATTTCAACGGAAATATCAATTTTAACCGATCTCCAATCCATTTGCACGATTTTGTTTGCGTGACGTGTATACTTACTCACAGAAAAAGGATTCCTTCTTCTAAAACGGTTTATAAAAATGCATTAAAAAGGGATGTTTTTTGTGCCCTCTGTATGTACTTATGTATGCATTTCGCCTAACTCAAACTGAATATCCGTAGAGGGTATACATTTTGTATATAAAACTGATATAACAACGAGTTGTGTATATACCTGTTTTATTGTAATCGGCATTACCAAACGCACAAACATACAAACAAATATATCGGCATTACCAAACGTATATACATACAAACGTATATACGTACATACATACAAACGTATATACGTACATACATACACATACACACACACACACATATATATATATATATATACATATATACATATACAAAGAGAGAAAGAAGTTCATAACCAACTTTTCATGAAGACCAGAAATTGAAATTCAAATAAATAAATTACCAAAAAACCTATAAACGTAGAATTAGCATTCTGAAAAAAATTATAGAAAGATTAAAATAAACTATTACAAGAAAAGCCAAAAATAAATAATGAAAAAAAAGAACATGAAAGAAGAGGAATCCAATAAACACCTACATAACGTCGTTAGGATGAAGATCTAGCGAAATTAATTACAATTATATATATATATATATATAAACAGTAAGAAATTTAGAACCAAATCCCCAAAGACATAAAAGAAATGAAATTCAAAACCAATAAAATCTAAAATCACTCCAAAATATGTAAAAAAAAATCAACCAATAGTCATCACACCGGTGGAGTAAATAGAAGGGAAATACAAAAATAACAAAAAATATTTAGGAAGATGAATGCACTCAATATCTGATACAACGTTATGAAGAGGAAGTATATCAGATTTAGTTGAACCTCCCCCAGTGCTTAAATTGCGCCGGAGCCCACCGGAGCCGGAGCCCGGAATTTGAGAAGCACCGGAGCCCAGCTCCGGTGCTTCTCAAATTTTAAGATAAATTACAATTTTAGCCGGAGCGCACCGGAGCCCTAAATAAGATGAGCTCCGATACTTCTTTTTGTAAAACTGATCCACAATTTAAAGGGAACAAAATTTAGAATTCCTAACGTTTTAGATTAACAATAAGCAGACTTTGCAATACTCTATTTCCGTAGAAATACGAATTCGTGAGAACATGAGACGTTCAAGTAAAGTCCTCTCACTCACATGCGGAAACCTTTTCCTTTAAGAAAAGCAATAAATTTGAGGGAGTTTGTTTAGGAACGCCTAAATTTCTTGCCATGGCATCGTGTCTAGTGTATTGTTATCGATGCTTACAGTTAGTTATCCTCGCAGGAAGGAAAATTTGTGTTCTGAAATGTGCGTTAAGTGACAACAAGTACACTAAGACCCCGCTTAACGCGGGGAATACGTTCCATTAAAGTAGAGCGTAATGCGAAACAGCGCTAAACGAGGCTATCTTAACATGTAAATAATGGGGTTAGGGGAAGATAGGTAGAAAATTGGTTAATTATTAAATTTAATAATGTTTTTTAATAAAAATAAAACCAAACATTCATTTCTTACAAAAATAAAACAATATAAACGAATATACTTATAAAAACAAATAAAATTCTAAGTCAGTCAGATCGTTCAGTCTATTCTGGGTTTCCAATTTTCTGATTTTTTGTCAAGAAGGCATTATGATAGATTGGCTTAATGGCATATTGCGCTCAATTTCGTCGTCAATCCATACAGACAGTCGTTTTCCCATTTCCTCTATAATGTTATTTCTAGAAGGGGTAATTCTAGTTGCAGAGCTTGTTAACGTAGTTGCAGTTGCCGATGACAGTATTTTTTCTTTATATTCTTAAGAATTGTCCTTATTGTTGAAGTTGCCAAAATCAATGCAGCACTCATTTGAGATTGACGTTCACCAGAATCTAATCTTCTAATCGCTTGCATTTGAGTTCCAGTGAAATGCTTTTTCTGGTTGCTTTCTTTTCTTGTGTTTTACTCGTATTATCACCCACGATAAAAACTAAAGATCATACATACTATTTGTCACTGTATTATTAATCGTTATAGTATTATATATCAAATTTAAACTTACAATAATGTCAACAAATGTTGTTTCAAATGATAAAAAGCAAGAAACACAACTACACTGTTTCGGATATGTTATTTGGAAACCTAGCGCTGCGCACAATTTCGAGGAATCCCCGGGTTGAAAAAAAAAGAGCGCTAAACTGAAACAGCGCTAAACAAAACAGCGTTAAGCGGGGTCTTACTGTACAATAAAAGTGAAATACTGAGATAAACTGCTCAAGCACGTCCTATACATCGTCTTCCCACAGGATCCACTAATTTGGGGGGGGGGGAAGCGTAACCAGAAACTTTACATTTAGGAGTCCGATTCAGGACTCATTTACCCCTGACACCCATCTGCTTGATGGCTATAATTATGTCAACAGAGAGCCGCGGTCAAAGAGAAAGTTCTTTCTCATCAAGATTCCTCTCATTTTTTGTTTCCACCCACTCATACCCTCATTCTGTTTCGCCCTGGAATTTTCATCAGCTATACTTTAAGTATATTTAATTTTTGTGATGATAAAAGAACTCCCCCCCCCTACGATCAGAACTTAAATTGGGCCGAAACACACCGGATCTCGGCTTCGGTGCTTCTTAGTTTTTGTAATAAATCATAATTCTAGCCGGAACGCACCGGAGCCCCGAGTAATATGGCTGCTGCACTTCTTTTATGTAGTTGAATAACAATTCCAGTAGAAATTTTATCTCGAAAATTTTATTTTAACAATAAAATTATATTAAATCGCATATTAAATTTCAATTTATCTCTTTACATTTTATTTATTTTAATTAGTTAATTACTTCAATCTTTAATTATTTCAATAAATAATAATTAATTACCCAATAATTATCAATTGAATTATAATTAATTAATCATATAATAATTATTGATTCATTAACAATTTATAAACATTAATTAAATAGCTATTAATTAATTTGATAATAACTAACTATTTAATTTTAAAAGTATTAGAGAGTTTAATAGTCATTTTATTTATTTATTTACTCTTGTTCCTCTCTGCTGACGGTCTTCCATAGGGCTCCGGCACTTCTAATCTTAGAAATTAAGCCCTGACCTCCCCCCTTGGAAAACTACTGCGTTTCTATTAATCCAAAATTACCTGATGAACCATTCTAAATTATTTAATTGTAACAGTTCACCCGAAAATTCTGAATCCCTCCTTTATATTGGACGGAAAAATACTGGGATTATTTTGTTTTAAAATAAAAATGTTTGATACTGTGTATATGCATACACATACTTCCTCTTAACCGATTTAAAAGTCCTTGCCCGGCCTTAATTTTCAAATTCTTAGACAGTTATTTTAAATGTCAAAAGTATTCAGGTTTTGCCAAGTAACGAAATCTAACATTTAATGCGATCGCCTGGTTCCTATGCTTAGATTTTCGAAAGTTTTTACTCTCGGCCTTTTGTCATTTTAATAACCTGAATCTTGCCGAGAAAACAGAATTTTCGCCAATTGCCACCCCTTTTCCGTAGAATTAAGATTTTTCTTGGTCAACAAAAAATTGAAATCTTCTGTCTTGAATTTTCTCGCCAGTTTATAATCTGCTAATAGTGAAACAGTAATTTGACTTTTCCCAACTTCCTAATGTTGTAACCCTAGGCGTCCTTAGCCTGGTGCTGCATACACTCCTCCATTTTTAATAGGTTAAGTTAGGTTATTTAATTACGGCAAAGCCTCGAGGGCTATCTGTCTAAGGGAAGGGATGCCTTCGTGGAGGACTTTCTAAGCGAAACTGGCTCGTATACACGTTACACATAGGGAAAACCACGAAAACACCCATGCAGCCAGCCCTTTCGTGGGATTCGAACCTCGGACCGAACTACCAGTGTTACCGCTCGGCCGCTGGTGGGGTTATTTGGAATAGAAAAATGGCTGCAATATTTAGGAGGAGTAACTGTAAGTAAAGATTAAGGTTAATTTTGGATAATATAAAAACCAAAATATTGATAGGACATTTTGAAATGTATGTTAGATATCTGTTTCTATTCGGTAACTTTTATTTAGGTTTGTAACCGTTGATTCTTATTTTATGTCTCATATACTGATCCGTAGTATGCTACATTTATTGTCTTATATCGCGTCGGGGAATTTCTTTCGCATATTTTGAAAATCAAGAATTTAAATTAAAATATTATATAAATTTGCATTTTGGCGCAGGAGTATTTTTCTAAAGCGTAATAGAGACAAAACGCGATCGAATTGAACTGTTGGTAGTTTTAGGGAAAGAGACAAATTCTCCTTGAAATGTTAAGATCTTTCTATGGAATTGGAAATTTTTCTTATAAAATATTTTTATTATTAATATTTGTACTTTTTTCATTAAACTTATCACATATTACTCCTTTTGTTTTTAGCAATTATACAACCTTTACGATGTTTTAAACTTTAAAAAAACTCCCATTGTGTTAAGATTTTTTTTATCATTTTAGAGGAGATAATCAAGTTAATATTAATTATTAAATATATACTATATATACATAATAGAACATACGACGAAAAGTTGTTTTTTTTTATTTTTATTCCTCCACTGCCAGTTTTCAATCTTAAAGTTTTTCTACCACTAGTGACTCAAGTTACATTTTTCTCAGAATGTTATTGTTTGTTGAAGGATTAGATGTATTTACTGATTAAGGCTTTTAAAATGAAATTATTTAGCATTATTATCCATTTTTCCAATAGTGCTCATTCATATTTTTCTTCCGAAATTATTACGTCCATTTTCTTAGAATACCTTCGGTTTTAAATTTAGCAATAGAGACTCTGCAAACAATTACTCCAGCGATCTGGATAGGACGACCCAACATTTCACAGAACCATACCGTCGACGAACAATTCTCCCTGATGGGTACGGGCTCTGCTGGAGAATTAGTAGTCTACCCAAGGACTACCTTCACTCTGCAGTGCCTCTTTCCTGAGAGTGTTTGGGGAACTGCCAGTTGGTATGTACGCTACAGTGATTCTGATTCTTCTGTCATGATGTCGAATGTCCAGACGAGAAAGAGTCACGTTGCTGTGACTGTAACTGCCGCCAAAGAAGAACACAGTGGGACATATACTTGTCGCACCCCTTTTGGTGTTGAACATAGTATAGTAGTGAATATCACAGGTAAGAATTTATAAAAGCCTTCGTTGATATTTCAGAAATTAATGACAGAACAAGTTTTCAGGGCGAGAATAAGATGCAAACTGTACTGAATAAGTTAAATTATTTAGAATTCGTGAGTTAGGTAAACAGTAGTTGGTGTATTTAATTATGGCAAAGCACACGAGGGCTATCTGCCAAAGGGGAGGGATGCCTTCGTGGAGGACTTTCTAAGAAAAATTGGTTCGTATATACGCTACACATGGGAAAAATCACGAAAACGCCTATGCACCCAGCCCGTTCGCGGGATTCGAACCTCGAACAGAACGACCAGTGTTTAGCGACTTTACCGCTCGGCCGCTAGTGGGCCTAGGTAAACAGCAATCGGATCCAAAATACCGTACCAGTTTATTTTCAGACATTTATATTTTTCAATTTCGCTTGCAAATATCATTAACTAAATATTAATGAAATTATTTTATTTTCGGACTTTAATATTATTCAATTTTTTTTTTTTTTTTTCAAATATCATTTACTAAACAGTAAGGAAATTATTTTGTTTTCGGACTTTAATATTGTTCAGTTTTGTTTGAAAATATCATTTAGTAAATATCAATGAAATTACTTTATTTTTTCACGTATACTATCGATCATTTTTTAATAACTTGTAGGATTCCTCATGGTGTAATTCTAAGTTACTGTTGAAAGTGAAGAATTTTAAGAACTAGCAAGTGAATAATCGCTTGAGTTCGTGTGACAGGAAACAACAAGATGAAAGGGTGAAATAACCCTTTATTATTCAAAACAAAATTTGACAGAACTCCGTCTTGGAGTGTACAATAAAGCCGACACTTGGGCTTGAACATAAGAAACTAAGTATTAAACTAAACTAATCTTAACTAAAGAGGTATAGCCGAAGCTATTAAAATTCTAAGAGAGTTGGCCACTTAACGTTAATAGACTGTGAAACTATCAAGGGCATAAAGTACGGCCGAGCGTGATAATAGCTTACGAGAGAGTAGCCTAAAAAGGCGGACGCGTGCAGCCAGAATACCTGGTATCTCTCTCACTAAGACCGAAGAAATAACAAGCAAGGCTTTAAAAAAGCATGCAAGTTTTCAGATTTTAACAGTCGCCCAAAATGGCTTGTTAAGGTTTTTTTAATGCTCTCGCTGAACTCGCAATCTACTAGTCTCTAGTTCCACTCACTACTGCTTATTATCTTTTTTATCTTTTTTATCTTTTTATCATTTTATATCATTTTAGCTTTTTTATCTTTTTTATCTTTTATATCCGTTTTTATCTTTTTTATCGTTTTATCTTTTTTAACTTTTATATCCGTTTTTTTATCTCTCTCTCTCTCTCTTTTTTTTTTTTTTTTTTTTTTTTTTTTTTTTTTTTTTTTTTTTTTTTTTTTTTTTATCATTTTACCTTTTTTATATTTTTTTTAATTCGCATTTACGTCATTTAAAATTCAACAGGAAAATCACAAAAATTTCAAAAGCAGTATAACAGTATATGTTTAGAATTCTTGATGCATTGTTAACTGTTGGCATGCATTTTCTACTTTTTTAGTATTTTCTCAGTTCATCTTATCTATGTTCAGTTTTATTAGTAAGGTAGCTTAAGAAACATTTTACTTTTCTTTATCCCAGAAAGGCGTTACCGCAGAAGGGCTATTACTCTCTCTCGGAACGGCATTTTGCGTCGAATTGCTATAAACCTCCATATCCCTGTTAAAATGTTGCACCAAATATTATTGTTCTGTACCATATTTAAATAAATTAAATAATGAAACATATGCATGAATGTATGAATGTTTCTGATATTGTGAAAAAAGTAACGAAACGTATAGTCATAAAATTTTGAATAACGTAATCATCCACCCGAATATTATCTTGAATTTATAATTTGTTTTATTATCTATTTCATACTTTTTAAACTTTAACGAATTTTTTATTAACAAAATCAACGCTTTCAAAGCGAGCAGTGGCAATGCTCTGTGCATAATCAAATATTTTTTTTTTTATCTCTAGTGAGTGAGATTGTTTGTCGGAAACTCTAAAAATATGCAGTTTTTCAATAGGTTTTGCCCAAAGGTGCGTTAGCTCAAATGCTCTCAAAATGTTTATGTATATGTAATTGAGGGGAAAAAAGCCTCCCCTTTAGTCGCAATATAAAATCTGAAACCTTTCAGATTTTTCTTTTTTGGGGTGGAGGGTTTTTTTTTTTTTTTTTTTTTTTTTTTTTTTTTTTTTTTTTTTTTTTTTTTTTCTGTTTTTAACGTTTTGCGTGTTAGCTTTATTTGCTAAATATTAGGCTTTTCGTAAAAATTCAGTTCAACAGCAAAATCACAACGTATTTAAAAATAGCATAACTTTGAAATTTCCGATAGATAGTCACGCGAGGTGGAGTCAAATGTTCTCAAATCGTTAAGTTTGTTAATCAAAAGTTAAATAAAAATTTACAAAATGTGAAATAGATAATAAAAAATAACATAGTTATATCAAAATGCTAAATATTTTTAATTAGATAGATGATGAATTAAAAGCATTTTTATTATTTAAATGAATCCGATTTAAAAGTAAGAAACGAATATTCCTAACCCTTTCCGGCATGCTACTTTTTAAAGTCGGAGTTTTGATAAAAAAAAAAAAAGGTAACTAGTCCTAGAGGAGTACACAAGTAAAATTTTGTGAAGATAGCACTTATTGTTTTATTATTCTGTGAGTTATTCTGTGAGTGTGCCCAAAGTGGCACACTGATTGAATAGAGCTTCGAAAAGAGTGCTGAAACGAGCATTGTTGGCAGTGAACTGACCGATGAGATGCGAAGAAATAAAGAATACAGACTCTCAGTGGTCCTAGATTATCGGTGAGCCCACTCTGGGCACACCTAGAGTTCGCCGTTTGATTTTAGGCAAGATTTCAAGGTAAAAACTTGAAACTAATATAGAATAAGGAGATTAGAATACAGCCAAAAAAATAACATAGAAATTTCTTTTCAAACAATTCCTTTTATACCGTAAAAACCATCTGGAAGATTTCTTTGGAGAATGAGGGTCTTAAAAAACTAAACATGGCTAAAATATATGGACTGGTTTGTGTTGAGCTGCCATCTACTATAAATAAAGAAGGTTCAGTGTATCCTATAGTAACCTATAAATTCTTTTTCATTCAATTTTTCTATGCGTACAGAAGGAAATTTTTAGGTGTGTCCAGACCGGACACACTGTGCCGCAAAGGGTTAAGAACTGCATCTACCGCTTTTAGGTAGCTTAGTTTGTTAATTCACAAGAGACAGCTTCAATTTGAAAGATAACTATCTTACATTTTTCCAAACGGCAACAGACTCGAATCTAAAGTTAAACGTCGCATTTACAGTGATTCAAGACTAAATCTTATTTCGAGACTAATAACCCTTTTTTGGTCTAAAAAACAGAAAGATTAACCATAACGGTTTTCCTGCGACAAAATTAGGTTAAATAACTATTCAGTATACATATAGCGCTCTAAGCCTTAGAGGCCTCAGAGCACTATATGGCTCTAAGGCCTCCCAGACTTAGAGCGCTATATGGATCAAACTGTGAACTTGAAATATATTACTTCGGAAAGTGTAAAGTTAATGTTAAAAACGGAGAATAACTTTATATGTATACATTACCTTTGAAACAGCCATTGCTATACTTAGGATAAGTATGAAATTTCAAACTAACTTAAAATCTAAACTCCAGTGCACATGCAGTGTTTAAGAATTCAGTGCAGTGGGTTCTAGAAATGAATGTAGACAATTTGTTTAACATGCACAGCTATGTATTTTGAGTTAAATGGGAGTGATTTCACCTGAAAATATCTCTTTTCCAACTATAGTAAGATCATAAAGGTATATTTGCTTATTCTGATGATGATTCATAAGTGCACCTCCCACAGAAAAGAAACGGGACAGTTCTATATCACCTGTTATATACTGGAACGACTGCCGAAACTGCTGCTGAGACTGCTGAAAAACTTGACTATATAGCATTGTTTTAACATGGGTATTTTGACAAAAAATCGGACTTTTTCTGAAATAACATACCAATGTTTTTCCATATTTCGATTCTACGACTCAAATTATGCTTAGATGTTAAATTTTTTAAATTTTAGTGAGATATTTTTGGAGGAATTAAAAAATTTACCTTGGCGCATTTTTTCAGTTTGCGTCAAGAATAATTCATTTGGCTAACATCTTAATTTATAGCAATCAATTTTCCTTTCCATTTTTCTTCATTGTACACGAGCAGAAGAAAGGTCATCGTTCATACTTTCAAATAATATTAACAAAGTGAGTAAACCACATTTGGCGTTATTATTGCTTATAACTAATATGCTAAATTTCAAAACGCGCCAGTATCTAAATTCACGTATATCTCAGGAAATTTTGAATAAAAAACTCGAATTTTTTGCCGGTATGCCTAGAAATACATCTACTTTAAGCTGATGGTAAAAATTTTAGAAGTTAGAATCCAAAAATTCTTTTTTGTAAAATTTATTAAAATGACTTAAAAATACAAATTAAAATATAAATCATAAAAAATGGGTTAATTTTATTTGCAATGAACCTAAATTTCGAAATGCGAAAGGAAGAATCAAATAAGCTTAATAAAAAACAGATATTAATACATATATACCAAATTCAATTAACACCTAAGAACTAAAATTTTGAGAGCCAGTTTTTTAAAAACTACTCGTGTGAGTTTTACTAAAATTGGCACTTTGGTATAATTTGAGTCCTAGAATCGAAATATGGAAGGAAAAAACTGGAATATTATTTCAGAAAAAGTCCGATTCCGTGTCAAATGGTGTCCGCCGATAACATCGCGGCAAAAACATCGCGGACGAAAACGTCTTGGAGAAAACAACGCAAGACAAAAACGTCGTGCTACGAAATATCGTGGGAGAAAACATCGCAAAGAGAAAACATCGCAGTTCTAAAACATCGTGTTACAAAACATCGTCGTCGAAAATAATGCGGTTCAAAAACTTCGCAGTTTAAAACATCGTCGTCGAAAATATCGTGGTAAAAAATAAAGTATCTACAAATCATCGCATGACGATAACTTCGCAGACATGCTTTTTTCAGGTTTTAATAATTGTAAAAGGATGTTCCCATAATGATTTGGGAGCGCAAGATGTAAAGAAGGATAATTTTTACTTTCACATTTTTTATTAACTAATAAATTTTTGCTGAAAAAGTAAGAAGGAAACTTAAGCATAAAAAATTAAATGCAAATTATAGGTTATACTTTTCATGAAAAATTACCAGTAAAAACTTCATAAAAATGATTTATTAATGTTAACTTTGTTAGTTAACTATGTCGGTTTAAAATTCTATTAAGTGCTATACGTTGCATTAATTTTCTATGCTTAAGTTTTATTCTTATTTTTCAGCAAAAATTTATTAGTTAATAAAAAGTATGAAAGTAAAAATTATCCTTTTTTCCATCTTGCGATCACAAATCAATATGGGAATATCCATTTACAGTTATAAAAGCCTGAAAGAATCATGTCTACGATGTTATCGTCATGCGATGATTTGTAGGTACTTTATTTTTTACCACGATATTTTCGACGACGATGTTTTTGAACTGCGAAGTTTTTGAACCGCATTTTTTTCGACGACGATGTTTTGTACCACGATGTTTTAGAACTGTGATGTTTTCTCTTTGCGATGTTTTCTCCCACGATATTTTGTAGCACGACGTTTTTGCCTTGCGTGTTTCTCCGCGACGTTTTCGTCCGCGATGTTTTTGCCGCGATGTTTTCGGCTGTAACCGTGTCAAATACCTATGCTAGAATAATGCTATATATAAATCTTATATATATCATTAGTCGCGCTTTCGAAGCATGGAAAACGCAGGTTAAATTGCGACAATCGGTCTAGTACAACGGGAGATATAGAACTGTCTCTTTTTTTTGGTACAAATTTTATCTAGCATTGCCAAATGTATGATTTAATGATGTTAAAACTCTCGCTATGTTGCAGCCGTTCAATGTCCTGAGATAAGTTACAATGATGTCAAATATATACGCTTTCCTGATGCAGAAGATAGAATTCTAAGTACAGTAGCTCGGTTTCCATGTAAGAAAGAACTCTCAGCTATATGTCTTTCCAATGGAAGCTGGTCAAGAGGTCCCCCAACCTCAGAGGAATGTGCACATGAAAGTAAGTATAGCTAATTTTAATACTTCCTCTGTCTCATAATAATAGTAGCAAGTGGATATTTAAACAGGAATTATTGGCGAATGAGCTGTAAGTTATGTTGTAGCACAAAATTGCAAAGCCTTCAACAATCAAAATCAATGTTTCTTGACCTCTGTCATTTGTTTTGACACATCTTTCAATTTTTAGGTTAACCTAACTATTACGAAGTTTAACTATTTTTTTAATATCATCCGCTGATAGAAATCAGTTGCTTCATTTCAGTTGAATATCAACCCATTGTAAAAGTAAGACAAAAAAAAGAGAGTTTTCAAGCAAAGTTTGAGCTGCGATTGTCTAGTTCAGCGGTTCTTATCCTTTTGACTAACGAATACCATTTAAACAAAAGCGAAAACCTTTATTAGTACCACCACTACATTTTACAATGATTATGTTTCAATTGCTCAATATAAATATTAAAAAGAAAATATATTTGCCATTTGCACAACCTGCTGGCTATATTAAATTGAAAATTGGTTACCATTTTAATTATCAAAATTTAAGCTATAATATTTTAATTCTAAAATTTAGTGTGAAATTTTGGCCTGTTTAAGAGAGATCCATTTCTTTATGTCTGATTTCATTTCACTTAAATTTAATCCTAAATTAGGATCCAATTTTAATTTTGTTCGGTATTTCTTTTTCAAATAAAACCTGGAAGAAAACACTTGTTCACACAAATAGGTTGTGCAAATAGGTAATAATAATTTAACAGCTTTATTTGAAACGCCTTTTAATTCCTTCTTTGGGTTTAACCAAAGTTATCAAGTGTGTTATTTTTGAAATCTCCAGTTAGAGCTTGACCACAGGAAGTTTCCATCAATTATTCTTTTCCTTCGCGAGATCTTTGAATTTAATAGTCAAAAGTACTTCACTTCTTTGCGTACCACCGGTTAAGAATCGCTGGTCTAGTTCTTGATGCGTTAAAAGAAACACCAAAAGTTGAAAAAGGCAAAACAATTTAAGCGTAACGGAATGATCATATCAAGAATTTGGAAACATGCTTCCAAAAATAATTGTCAAGTTAAATCTTATGCTAATCTTGATTCTTTGAAAAGACAAAACTGTGGACGTAACGGCAACGACTTGGAGAAAAACCTGAAACATTTAAGCATTTTTTTCTCTTAGTAGAAAAGGCACCATAGAAGCAGTAAACATAGCCTTCGACAATATTTCTCACGATATACCAGAAAATATGTTTCTTTCACTTCAACTAGTTATGCTGAAAGGAATAAAGGACGATGGCTGCAATAATTTTTAAAGCTCACGGGTATAGTTAGCAAAGACTTGCAGACGAGAGATCTTACCTACATGTTGAAAATGCAATAACAACATTATTAAAAAAATGCAGAAACTATATGAACATTCAAAATAAAAGTTAATAGCAGTTTTAGTTTATTGTATAAGGTAATCTAGTTGTTATAAAGTGATAGTTTGCGCCGTTAGGTGACGCTCTGAACGTCTTATCTCTATTGATATTCTGTAGCTTACTTTGATGGGAGATCGAAGGTGTTAAGCCTAATGATGATGAAGGCGTTTGTCTAATAATAATGCGTGTAAGCAAAGTATTATATTGTAAATAAAATGTATGTGCATTAATAACGTAACGAAGAGGATTATCTCTGAAATTAATGCTCTCTGATGGTAATGGAATTAGTTACTATATCTAGTTGTTTGATAATAAATGTTGAGTTCTATATTTATTTTCTTTTGCTACTATTGTTAGGCGACAAATTAAATTCACAAACTGCTACTATTATTGTGGGTCAAATGGGGCTAATAACTATATTGTGATAAAGCAAAGTTCTTCTTTAGTAATGACTACATTAAAATCAAACAAATTTCTTTTTTGATTTAGCAGAAAAAATCGATGACGAAACTAAATGGAGATGTTCACCTATCGATACGAAGCATCGTCCAGGCCTCATATTAGACGAAGATATGAAACAAAATATAGTTAAATTCAAGTGTAGCAGCAATTTGATACTCGATGGGGAAGCCATAACACGTTGCGTGGATGGAGAATGGACTTATAGTGAATTGCCCAGATGCATGGATAAATAGAATCTGAAATAATGGTTTTGAGATAGATAACGTGAGATAGATAACCATAACGTTTCATAACGTAGTTATGAAAACCGTAGACTGAAGAAAATATTCGTTTTCATATTGGTGTACGTTTCTATAAGAATGCCCTGATTATGCTGAAGATAACTTAGATTATATATTTAGTTTCAATAAAACAGTCTTCTTCATTTAAATGTAACATAACTCTATAATTTTACTGGCTCTATAGACTGAGAACAAGACCATTGTTTTGAATTTAAGAGTACACTACGGGGAAAAAAAAGAAAAGGGCAGTTCTATATCTCCCGTTTTACTGGGCCGATTGACGAAATTCAACTTACGTTTTTCATGTCTGGAAAGCGCAACTTAAGGATATCTGTTAGATTTATATATAGCAGTGTTCTAATATAGGTATTCTGATACAAAAGCGGACTTCATCTGAAATAACATACCAATGTTTTTCCATATTTCAATTTCTACGACTGAAATTACGCCAAGTTTTGTAAAAATCGCATGAGTAGTTTTTAAAAAATTAGTTCCTCAATATTAATTGAGTTTGGTATGTATTTATTAATCTCTCTTTTTTATTATACTTATTTGATTCTTCCTTTGACATTTCGAAATTAGGGTTCATTTCGAATAAAATTCACCCATCTTTTATTAAAATGTGTATTTTTAAATACATTTTTATAAATTTTTCAAAAAAGAATTTAAATTATAATCTATAAAATTTTTACCATCATCTTAAAGCAGATGTATTTCTAAGCATATCTGCAAAAAATAGCAGTTTATTATTCAAAATTTTCGAAGATGTACGCTAATTTATATATTGGCGCCTTTTGAAATTTGGCATATTTGTTGAAAGCGATAAAACGTATAACGTGGTTTAGGCACTTTGCTGAAATTATTTGAAAGTAAGAACGTTGGGACTTTTCTTCCGCTCATGCAAAATGTAAAAAGGTTGAACGAGGTGCCTTTTTTTCGCCGCGGTATAATGGAAGGAAAAGGAAAATTGGTTGCCATTAAGAAGTACGCCAAGTATTCTTGGCGCAAACTGAAAAAATTGCGCTAAGATAAATTTTTGAATTTCTCCGTCAATTTCGCACCAAAATTTTACAAAATTTAATATCTAGGCATAATTTGAATCGTAAAATCGAAATATGGGGGGGGGAATGGTATGTTATTTCAAAAAGTCCGATTTTGTGGCAGAATACTTATGTTACCAGAATGCTATATATAAATCTAATATATATCCTAAGTCGCGCTTTCGAGACAGGAAAAACGCAATTTGAATTTCTTCAATCGGCCCAGTAGAACGGGAGATCTATCGACGAAGTAGATTTAATTCAATCCAATAAATTTAAATGGAATGAAAAAAAAAATGCGTATAATTTAATATTCCGTAGAAGGAAGTCGTTACCATTTTCACGCTTTTTTTTTTTTTTTTTTTTTTACTAAGTTTATACTTAATTTATGTTCCAACATTTTTTCACGTTGAAAATATATATATATATGTATATAGGTTTTATAATTTGAATGAAATAAAATACGATACATAAACAATTAAAAATTCTTCTGTTTCTTGCCGTGTAGCAAAAGAATGTCTTCATTAAATATCTTCATTTAAATATCTTCTAAGAAGATTAAGCATTCAAAGAAATAAGATTTAATTAATGGAAAAGTTTTTAAGATTTTTTTCGAATTTTTAAAATGATTTCAAAATGTTCTATGCAAGATGATTTTTACTGTGAATTCATATTATATTTCATAGTTTGCAACACACAATGCCAAAGATTACATTTTAAACACACATATTTAATCAAAATATTTTTAAAGCCTATTTAAATTTAAAAAAATCTGAAATAATTCTTGCATTTCTTGAGTAGATAATCAATTTCTATAATTTACTGTCTCTCCACTAGGTATTTTAGAAGCATGAAAAACTTGGATTCAATCAAATATTTAAAACTATGGCGTACATGTTTCAATACATAAAGAATTATTAACTTTTCTGTCAACGTCAAGCATTTAAAATGTATAAAAATGTAACGTGTAAATATGTTTATATTCAATAATAAAAATCTTAATCTTATTTAAAGTCGTATACACGGCTGTGAATTTATATATGAATAATCGAATTCCGTTTTAAATAAAAGAAAACTTTTAATTAAATGACAATATCTTTAATGCATTTCGGTGAAAAATAAATAAAGTTTTCTTTCATTTTATTAAAATTTTCAGATTTAACTCTTCATAAAAAATTTTCCACCGATGAAAAATAAGTGAAATATCTTTTCTAAGGCATCTATTCTATGCATGTATGCATACATGTTTTAATAAACAGTTACATGTATGTCATAACACAGTAAAAAGTATACCGAAACCAAAGTAACTTCACTTTTTAATTAGAAAACTTTACAGAAAGAAGTATCACTGATTTTCTTTTATGACATACGAAAGTGGATTATTTAACCGTGCTCTTGAAAGAATATAATTATTTCCTTTTGATATTTCCAGTTTTTTCCTAAAAATAAAAAATATTTCTTCTTTGATATCGTATCCGTTTGTTCTAATAAAAAATAATAACAGCAATAAATTTAATTAAATTCCTTATAAATGTGCAATATGTATAGCAATGGAAACACTTTTTTCTATCTATACAAATAAAACGAACGTTTATCTGTTAGTTTGTTTGTCTTGCCGAGTTGTGCCGAGCGGTAAAGTCGCTGAATACTGGTAGCTCGGTCCGAGGTTCGAATCCTGCAAACGGGTTAGCTGCATGGGTGTTTTCGTGGTTTTCCCCATGTGTAACGTGTATACGAGTCAGTTACCCTTAGAAAATCCTCCACGAAGGCATTCCTCCCCTTAGGCAGATAGCCGTAGTGTGCTTTGCCATAATTAAATACACCAATATATAAATATACAGTTTAATTCTTATATACTTTTGAAACTTACCACACTCCGACCTTCAAAGCAAAAGGAAGGTCACTGTCTTATTGCTTCGCCCGCATTTCTTTGCTTTTTGAAAGTGAATTTGTAATAGCCATACTTTCCCTGTGAAATCAATCATGCCACCAAAATGAAAATTTATTGCTCGATCTCCACCTCAAGCAAGAAAGAAAAATGCATCACGAGCTTCAGAAAAAAAAAAAAAAAAAACTAGCAACGGGGAAGGAAGATTAGAAAACGTTCGAGTATGCGTTGCTCAAGCCCGTTCTTCTGAAACAAACGAGCAACGAGAAGCAAGACTTGTAAACGTTCGAGTACACACTTCTCGATCCAGACGATCGCTACACGCTGATTTAAATCTTGACGAATTCCATTATGATGCTAATTATGATTACAGTCTTCATCCAAGTGTGGTCGTCGGAAAAATGGATAAATTTTGCATGTACTGCAGAGCCCTCAAATTTGAGAATGAAGCCCCAGGAATCAATGTGGTGTGCGAGTGGAAGAGTCAAATTGCCAGAGATACGAAACGAACCATTATCAACCTTGGTATCAAGTGACACAAGCGTTAAAGATACGCCAAAATAAGAGAAAATTTCATAACAGAATTAAAAACGCAAACACTTTCTGTCCTTTAAGTAGCACTGCAAAGTGCGCTGGGTAACAGCTAGTTCGCTAAATTCTTTATAATAATGCTGCAATTATTCACACTTACCAACTGATTTCATTAGAAAGTACAGTAATCCCTTCGACTCGGTACGTGTCTTAACGGACTACATTCCTAGTCTTATAAGTGCACAAAAACCATGACATTCAAACTAAAAATTACAAGTAAGGGTTCCGTGTCGTCCAACCGGTATAGTGGTTAGCGCCACTGACTGCCGTAACGATAGTGATAGTGACGGAGGACGAGGCCACCAGCCCTTTACTATTAAGTTAATTAGCATATAGGGCCACGTCCGCCCTTATCCAGAGTAAAGACAGAGAGGCCACGTGGGAGGCTTGCACAAGGCGCCCAAACCCAACGCCTGAACCATCCGGTTGGCAGTTCCGCGAACCAATGCCACCGGGTTAGATCGTCCCAAAGTGCCCTGGGTTACAGTGTTTTTTGTTCTTTACATTTCACAAATATGAATTTTACATGGCTACAATGCTGACAGACCTTTACAATACGCGTGTTATATTAAATGACTTCATTGAATACCATACTTTAGCTGACATTACAACCGTTCTGTTACATCCATAGTACATATTATTTTATAACTGTTTATTTCTATACATATTCCTTTGTAAATACTTACGATGCTATATATAAACTGAAGATATACCTTATAAACCAGTACTGGTGCATATACCTTAATTAAATATTCACAATATTATACTCTGTCTACGCTCCCTGGAGCAGACCAAACTACTTACCATATGTAGAAAAAATTGTAGAGTGTGCGTATATTACAATGCCTGCGCGTTTTAAATGAATTGCATTTGACTAATTATAGCATACACACGTAAAGCCTATCTTCAAGAATTGCTTGGCACAAAAGGGTATTACTGGTGCATTAAATCATTGGGGGCATGATTGAAACATAAAAAGATTTACATTCATACAGTGGTACATTTCTTGTACATGCACATATAATACCTTCACATGACTGGAAATTACACTTGGCATCTGTTTTCATTTGTACATATGGACGTTGTACATACGTACACGTAACTTATATATTTTACGTTATATATTTACACATGGCATAAGTCTGGACCTATGTCTATTAGCTTATCTACTAACTGCCGTAACGAAGGGCGCGGTTTCGAATCCTGAAGAAGGCATGGATGTTTGTAAATGTATAGTGTCAGTGCGGCATGGCGACACTCTAAGTATGCGGCGAGCCGAAAGTCTTCTCGTGTGCTTTGGTGGAAGGGGAAGGAGACCCTCAGACCCGTCCCTGCTGGGCGCTGTCCATTAAAATTGGAGGCAGAGCTGAGCTATACCGCACTGCCACCTGTAAAGTACTGAAGGCTGTTGCCAACGACAAACGTATCATGCGTTCCTTGCCAGGAAGAATTTCGTGGGCTTTTGTTGTTGCTGTCAGACAAGTCAGCGTAAGTAACAGCAACAACAACGACTCCATAAACATTTTCTCTTTTCTTCAACCAATACGTTTTGCTTTCAAAAAAAAATATTCGCGCAATTAATAAATTAATAGCATGTAAATAATATACACATAAAATAATGAAACATATTTCAGT